GAAACATGGTGGCCATGAGCTTCATGTGCACGCCGTGGAGGCCAAAGCTCCAAAGCTGTTGAGAATCGGGGTGGAGGGAGGTGGAGGGGGGCAGGGGGCGGTGAACTGCTGCTCGTGCATGCGGTGTGTGCACAGCGAGGAGACCACGTCAAGCACCAGTGTGTACTTGTTGATCCCAAAGGTCAAGGTGGGGCCTACTGAGAGGTGCATCAGCTTAAAGTAGATACTGGTCTCCATTTTGCTCAAGATCAGCAAATGTGCGACCCCAAGGGGCCCAGACACTGCCACACAATCCTTTAGAGAATTTTTCTTTCGTACCTGCAGGCGGATGGCAGTGAGCGGCTCTATGACCCGCCGTAAGCCCAGGCTGAGCTGCTGCGACCCGTGCAGTCTGGAGTGAACACAAGTGAGTGGGGCTGTGCAGGGTAGGCCTAGAGGTTGCGGAGCTGCGCCCTGGTGAGCCCGCGCTTCTGGTGCCTGGACCACCCCAACTGACACATGCAGTAATCTTCTCCACAAAGCCCCTTTTGCCCACCACTTCCAGCGCTGCGCCCAACCCTTTATATATTACAGCCACTTTTTTTGTTTCAGTTGTGTATCGGTGCAGGTAAACCATGTGTCTGTGCACTTTCATCAGACCATAAATTCTTGGAAAGCCAAAAGTCAGGTAAGGCTATGCCAATTAGCTTTTTATCCATTGCTACAGCTTTATCTGTAATCAGAAGTCAGATTTTCTCATATGATTTTCTCCTACTATGAATTTCTTTTTTCCCCAGAGAAAAGAAAAAGAAATCCTTCGCATTGACACGGAAGAACTTTTGGTCACGTGCTCCAAACAAATCACACTGTTCTTTGTCTTAGCTGCACTTGTCCCACCTGTAAATTCTTCTCCATTTAAAATAAATGTCTGTCATCCTCATTGAAATGTAAGCCCCATGAGGGCAGACACCAAGTCTGATTTGTTCATTCCAACTATCTATTGATATTTGGCACACAGCAGGTTCTTTACATCTGGAGAACTGACACATGCCCTTCAAAATCACTCCAGTCCAACAATCCTATTTTGGGGATATGAAAATAGAGTCTATAAAAGTCATTCTTAGAAGTGACTGGCCCCAGATTGTATAACATGTTAATAACAAAGCCAGGATTAGAATTCTGGATTCTTTATTGCCCATGCACATTCTCTGTCCATTACACCACAGAGGTTTTTATACCTAATACTCTAGGCAGGCAACACTACTGATCAGTAAGGCACAGAAACCTTTGTGATCTAAACATCATTTGGTTGGCGGCCTGGCTCCCAGTGTTCTTTATCAGTTGGAACATAGAAACCCTCCCATAAATATGCCTGGTTTATATATACTTTATGTAAGACTCCAAGAACAGAACCCAAAATGGAATTCTACAGCCAGAGCAAAGGGCCAACTTATTCTCAAATAGGAGGGTCAAGTTTTACAGAGGCCAAGCCACATATGCCACCTGAATTCCCATGGTTCAGCTACTGCTAAATCAAATATTCTGCTAAACAGAGCTCCGACTTGTATGGTTTTTAAATTTTATTTTGGGGTTTCTTTAAAGCAAATATTCAAAAAATAGAACTTCTCCTCAGCACATGAAAAAAGTAAATGTGAATTTTCAAGGGTGAGGAAGGTGCTCTGAAATTGGATTGTACCCAATTCTATAAATTTATTTATAAAATCTTTAAGTTATACACTTAAACTGAGTAAATATATAAATTATACTTCAATAAACCTGTTAAAAATAAGCGTGAAATGTGTTAGATAGTTAAAGTATTTCTTTTTGCAAACATCTGGTATCAAAACTATAAAGACATTCTTAAATATTCCCATAATCTCTTAAGCCCAGGTTTTATCTACTTCAATCATGGTTTAACTACAAGGTCAAAAGTTTTTTCTGCAACTTGGTTAAAAAATAATTTAGTAGACTAATATAAATATCTTGGTGTAGTGCCAATAGATACTGAGTTCTTTGACTGATTATCTGTATGAATGATCCACAGATATATTTGTTTAAGCAGTGTTCTAGTCTAAAACCTGTCATTAACTAGCTTTTGGTTTTGAGCAAGTTATACATCTCCAGACCTTGGTTTTCCCACCTGTATCATGTGTCCCTGTAGACCAGATTAAAGAAGCACATTATATAGTAAAAAGAATAGTAATGGCTATCATCTAACGAATAGCCACCAATACGCCAGACTGTTTTAAGTTATCATCCTATGAGGAAGTTATTATTAGCTACTTTTTTGCAGATGAGGAAACCGGAAGTTTCCTCATAGAGTTCATTAGTTTGACCAAGGTCGCATAGTTATTTAGTAGCAGACCCAGGATTCCAATTCAGAACTGTCCAACTCCAAAACCTATACTCATTCTCTATTCCTCATTAGATTGGGCTTTTGATTCTGTCAGATGTGGGCATAAATCCTGACCTTGCCTTTATTTACTATGTTAAGTTAGTCACCTTCTCTGAGTCTAGTTTCCGCTTCTACAAAATGAGATCACTAATATTAAACTCTCATGGTTGTTGTGAAGATTAAATGAGAGAGTGCTTCCTCTACAATTAGAAACTATTCAGTAATAGTCTTTCTTCTCCCCCTGCTACACAAGTTCCTTGTTGTGTTTTTTAAAAAAAATCTATTTAAAAAAAAAAATCTATAAAATTCTATGATTTCCTTGTAGCCTCCCTGGATAAACCTTACTGGGACTGAGTTCTATCAAAAGCAATTAAAGTGAACACAAACAACACAGCATTAGTCCTTTGCTATCAGTCCTTGGCTCTGTGACGGGGACTGTCAACAAGAGTGTCAACTTCAAGGGGTGGGCAACTGTCCACAGGAACTGAGCAAGCTGAGGTCACAGACTTGTCTCACTCTGCCCTACAAACAGATGTCTGGGTGACAACTCTTAGTCACTGCAAACCAGGGTTAGAGCCAAACCAGGTGGGAAGTGCTGTATCTCCTTTCTGATCCTCTTGGCCAGCCCATTCATTCCCTAAAACAATACTTCACTGACCATAATTCAAAATAACTAGTTTTCCCCCAGGATGCTATTTTCAATATAATGCCTTTATTTTGATGATGGCTAATTATTTCACAAGCAAAAGAGCGTGTTCCTATAATAGTGACTTGTCAGCAAGAAACCTGTTTGATTCTGTGTATTGAATGTGTACCTTCAAACATTTACCTCCCAAGCAACCTGGTGAAAACTGATGTAATGTGGAGCTCTAGTGGTGGCAAGAAAGTAAAGCAGCCATTAGTGAGAGCCAACAAAAAAGCCAAGGAACTCACCATTTATTATTCATTTATTTGTTATTATGGTGAAATCACCATTTGTTATTCAATTAATATGTTAAGAAGAAAAATGGTTCAAACTGACTTTCCAAGATAATATAAGGTAAACTCTAAATATAGAAACTTTCTTTCAGATTACAAATTAGACCTCAACAACTAGCCTACATCAAACATAAAGCAGTTAAATCCAGGAAAAAAACAGTGCTGTAGTTGTCACTTTTCTACTTTTTACCAAGTTCACTAAGAATCCTATTAGTTAAACACTAGTTACTTTTCACACAGCTAGCAAGAGTACTGTATAGAGAAAATGATAGACTCTAAGTGGTATGATCAGTGAAGTCCTATACCAACTGTCTTGGGAATTTAAATAATCCCTACAAGCTGATGAGGTTGTTGCCAGTTAATTCCTGCACTAGAAAAGTGCCTTCCTTGAATTTCTGACTTCTGAGGTCTTTCCCAGCTGAAAACAACCAAGAATGAAACCTACAATGTTAAACATTAACTCTTTGTTTTCCTGTTACCTAATATTATATATGTCTTCTCAATTGAAAGGGCTTCACTTATAAAAAAAATACAGCTCCATTATTATCAGCAATGTAGCAAAACATAAATAGTGAAACTTTTATGATGTACAACTGGGAGTTGACATTTAAAATGTGTAAACATGGTGCCTGGTTTAGCTGTTATTAGGAGGAAAAAACAAGTTATTGTGAGAAAAATACTTCAGAATATGAAAAAATACAAGTATCATATTCCTGAACATTACAGAAAATGTAAGAGACTCACTTTTCCACAAGTGATAATAAAAGAAATTAAATTTTTATAAAGTAACAACATTTATCTGAAATACAAATCTCGACTCCTGGGAGCTTTTCATGGCTTTTATCAGTTGAATTCACTAGAGGTTTTTCAATGGACATATTCCCAGGACTTCTAAATTGTTAATCTACAGATGACTATCAAGTCTCAGAGGTCTATGAAGGAAGATTTAATGATTACCTAGGGGTTTTATTCATTAATGTCTCTCTTTTACATCCTTCTTCTAATAATATGCTGTCATTCATATAGTTCACTAAAGCTGCACAGAAAAATGGTAAAAATATAAGAGCCTTTTCTGAGAGGTCATTGAGAATGCAGTAGTTTGCAATGGGAAGCTCAAGATAGAGAACTAATTTCCTTTAGCTATAGGACAGGAGAGAACCTACAGTGTCTTTTGATAGAAAAGAATAAAAGCAGGAGAGGAAATTAAGGTGGTTTAGTAACATAATCATATGTCAAAAGGAACAAACGGAAACCTGTACTAATCCAACATTAGCCACCAGAGAATTTGGAATCTAACGTGTTCTGCAGTCCTTTTCACTGTAGACATTCAAACTAAATAAAATTAAAGACTATTTTTCTATCTGTGAATCTAAGAACTTCATCTTTGTACATCATCTTGCCTCTATTTTCCTTGGCGATTATCTCTCTCTCTCTTTTGCTTTCCCATAACAGACCTTGGTATGTTGCTTAAAATAATATTTGGAGCTTTATTTGCCATTCTTTTGACTGGGACATGTTGATTTTATTAAAGTAAATTGGGTCTGCATTCTTTCTTTACTATTATTACAGGTAGACTTGACAGACACGGGACTTTTGTTTTAAAATGTTCTGCTATGGAGCAAACCTTGTTAAATAAGTTCCATTTTACCTGCTGGGCAGTTGCATTCTGAAGGTGCTTCTCTTGCGATTCTTATTTTAGCCATATGTTCATAGGATTTCTGCAGGGGGAAAAAAGAGGTATTAAGAATCATCAGTAGCACGGTAAAAAAAAAAATGGGTTCTTTAGGGACTCTCTGGCCATATGCTTGATTTACCAGCATTTGATAGCCTGCACAACTAAAGTTTACATATATATTTGGACTTTCATCAAAAGGTAACAGTACCCAAGCCCTAAAAAAAGAAAATGACTATTGCCATGATATTAAGTCTGCTGGACTTATATAATATCTTTCTTCAACTACCATCACCCTCTCCCTCAGCTCAAGCATACGCAATCACTGCAAACACCTGGTATTAACATGGTGCAGTTCTAGGTAAGCTATGGGTTTTAAAACAGTCAATATTTTTATACATGAAGGTCAATTGCTAATCATGTTGTGCTGCAACTACTGCCAAAAAGCCTCTCTATTGGAAGAGCAAGTTCCAGAAAACCTCCTAACTCTAATCTAAAGCTGCCCCTGGTTTTGATAAACATAATGCACATTCCTTTCAACTCTCAAGTCCAATGGCTCTGCATTCCTAAACACCTCTGGAACTACATGTTTTACAAAAAATTAAGCTAGTTTTTTTTTCTTTTTGAACATTTAATATGAAAACACTCAATGTGTGAAATGACTGAATTTAAATCACATTTAGGGTAATTTTACTTCTAAGAGTGATTACCATTTGTATGTTAATAACACCTATGGCCCTAACCTTCTTAGAACATATGAAGGATATAACAGATGTTATCTATTCCAGAAATGGTCTCCACAAAATTGGAAAAGATTCACATGTGATTCTGAGAAAGTAAAAGGAGATAAAATACCACCATGCCATTCTGGCCACCCTTCCCCCTTTTAGACAGACTTCCGTATAAACATAACATGCAAATATTCAGAAGAGTGAAGGAAGATGACACAGACAGAGAGGGTGATATCAAAGGATGTGCATATACAAATGTATGCTACAATGAGATGGTCGCCTAGCATATGCACATACAGCCACACCAAGAATGCAGACAGTAAGAGTAGAGGCTGGTCGTGTGCACAGAATCACGCTTGTGCAAAATGTTATCCACATGCAAAATACCCCAGCCTTTCACACCTGAGCCAGAAGTCGCTCCACTTTCTCTTGCACCACTGCTTTCAGCTGATCCAGGCAATCAGGGAGCAGATGGATAGAAGGGTCCCCTTTGGCGGATTCGAGAGCGGCGATCCTTGCCTGGAGGTCGTTGGTTTTCACCCCCAGGTACAGACAAGACATGACGGCCACCACTGACAGGAGTGCCGCCAGAGCTGCGCACGGGGGCACGGTCCGGGCACAACGCTGCCCCGCGGGGCTCCGGTCCTCGGAGCCCGGTTCTAGGGCGCCTCCTTTCCCTGCAGGCTTCTTCAGCAGCATCGTGGCAGGGTCGGCTGCCTCGGCTTCGCCTCCCACCCTCTACCACTTCCAATAATCTTAAAAGGAAAGAAAAAGGACGATTCCTCCAAAGTTCAGTCCCGGTGGCCACACAACTAGTTGGCTGAGTGGGAGCCGGGGCTCGGAGATGGACCCCTACTATCCTCAGCGCCGAGAACAGCAATCGCGGACCGTCCTGCGCCTTCTCCCCTCCTAGCTAGGGGTGAAAAGCACCCTCAGTCCGGGGACTAGTGGCAATAAGGTAAAAATCGGAATGAAACCCACCCAGATGGCCCTGCTGCCCCCCTCCCCCAGAGGACGACACCTCTTCCGAGGTCCCCGCGAGCGGCCACGCAGGGGCCTGGGGACAGCGGGCGAGAGAGCTGCTGGGGCCGCCGCTCGCCTCGCCCAGGAGTGCGGACCTGTTGCGTCTGTTAGTTCGCCTTATTTCTACCTAGTCGGTGTTTTTCTGCACGCCGACCTGTTTCCCACCTGGACTCAGTTCCAGGCAAAACGGCTGAGAGGAGGCGGGAGCGCAGCACAAAAAGGGTGGCTGAGCGAGGGAGGAGAGAGGAAACGAAATAACCCAACAGCAAAAGCAAGCTGCAAGGCCGAAATCACGACTGCCCCAAGGTTCTCCGCAGCCTCGCGCGTGCGAGCCTTAAATACCCTTCGGGATGCTCGTCTGTGAGTGTGTGAGTGCGCGCGCGCCCGGAGCCGACGTCCCGCCTCCGCCCCCTCCCGCCTTGGCTTGGGCCGGCAGCCCCGAGGCAGCGAACCCCCCTTCCTAAGCCCAACCGAAGCCCGCCTCATTATCCTAATGTATTCACCTTCGCCCGGCCCGCACCGGTCCCAGACCCCCGTGTGTTGGGGAGCTGAGCGGGAGGTCTATATTAGCATAATATATGCAAATCTGGAGCTGCCGCCGTGATTGGAGAGGAGCTTGACGACCCCGCCCCCTCCACAGAGTAACTTCAGCGTCCCTGAAGGCCACTTCTCCCGCCCAGGCCAGGGGCCGAAGTGGGGCTGCTGTGGACCAGGCGGTAACGCTGGCTTGTACAGACTCGGCCCAGCGCCCTCTCTTTATCGCGGTTAAATCTGGAGAAATGGCCTCCAGGAGGGAAGAAGTGGAGCAGAAAGCTCCAGCTCTCCAGATCTTCACTCAAAAAGCAGTGGCGGGAGCCCTTAGGATCTCGCTCGGGGCAGCCTTTCCCCCTCCTCCCTCGCTTTTCCACATGCCCAGAGGCAAGGGGTCTGGCTGACGCCCGAGGTACATTTCCCCACTTCCCTTCTCTTCCCACGGCCGCTGCAGATTCTCCGCCTAGGGAAGTTTTCTCTCCCCTCCCCCAGTTTCCTTCTGTCTTGACGGGGCCGAGTCTCCTCCCCGCTTCGTGTTCCTAGTCTGTACTAGGGTGCTAATGCGTTTTCCTGATTCCCTGTTTTGTGGGATTGAAAAAGGGAGTGTTGAGGTACACATTTCTCAGGATTTAGGAAAGGACTGAAGAATGAGGTCAATTTTTCCTCTTACCTGACTCGCCTCATGCTGCTGCCCCTTCTGGATCAAATTACAAGTTCTCTAATGGGATTTTTGAAAGTAGGTAACAAGTAGCATTCGACATCTGATTGACTTTGGCAAAAAAAAAATCCCACCTCTTAACTCCAACGAGTTTCTTATGCCCTCCGCCCCAAAAGAAATACCATATATTTTTCTTATCCTTCTTAATAAGCAAACCTCAAGTTTTGCTCTTTAATGTAAACAATCAACAAAATACTGCACTAAGCTGATCTTTCACATACGTCAACGGATATTGCTAGGTATGAAACAGGGTAAAGACGTTTCAACAACATCTGCTGAAGGAAGATACAGGAATGAAAACAATTAGGGGATGAAACAGACACAACAATGGAGGAAAACTCAGTGAGTTTTGCTATAAAATCAAAAGTTAATTCCTTGGGCCGGCCGAGTGGCGCGATGGTTAAGAACTGGCTTGGGATGCCAGAGGGCCCCGGTTCGGATCCCACATATGAGGGCCAGTGACACTGCCCTCCACAGCTAAGATGCTGAACAACAGCTCAACCTGGAGCTGGGCTGCCGTGAGTCGCCGGCGGCAGCCCAGGTTGCAGCCCCTGCGGCAGTGGGTTGCCATGGGCTACCGTGTGTAGCCAGCAGCCAGCGTGAGCAGCCAGCAGCTGCAGTGAGCGGCCGTCCAGAAGCCGGCGACTGATCTGCCTTGCCCGGGAAGAGCGCAATGATGGTGCCAACTTGGGCCAGTGAAGCAACGTCCTCCACCACTAGATTGAAGAACAAAACGACAGCAACTTGTCTGTTCCCCTCCCCCCGATTCCCCAATAAAATCTTAAAAAAAAAAAAGTTAATTCCTTATATTTGTATTACACAGTTGCTTTCAAAGGGTGGTCCCAGACCAGCAACAACTGCATTATCTGAGAATTTATGCAAAATTTAAATTCTGGGACCCCACCCCACATCTACTGAATCAGAAACACAACAATCTGTGTCTTTGCAAGTCTTCCTAATGATTTTGATGCACACGAATGTTTGAGAACCACTGGTGTAACACTTTACAAAAGTATTTTCAAATACAGCTTTTCCACGTGAACCTCATAAGCCTGTGATGCAAGTAAGGAAGTATTGGCCCCATTTTATATATTAGGAAACAATTTTCAAGTCACATGTAATTGTGATTAAATGTGTTTCCAGTAATAGCACCCAAGGAATGGGTACAAATTTTTTAATATGTCAACTCTTGCTGATTTTCCAATTACCTCTAACCATTTCTTAGTCTCCTTTGCAGGCCTTTCCTCTGCCTGTCCTCTAAATGCTGGCACTCCTTGGGTCTCTTATCTTATGCCATCTTCTCTTCTAACTGTACGCTATCTCCAGTAGTGCTCTCAATTACCATCCTTACACTGATGAGTCATAAACCCATACTGCAAGCCCTTATCTCTCTCCTGAGCCTCAGACCTACATAGCCAATTGCCAGTCTGCTATCTCCACTTCGATGTCCCATAAGCAATTCCAACTTAATCTGCATCTTACCTCCAAATCCTGCTCTTCTTTTGTTTCCCACCTCAATAAATGGAGGTGCCCCTGGCCAAAATATCCAATAACCCTGGACTTCTCCCTTTCCCTCCTCCTCATCCACCTAAATTTCTTCAATACCTCCTATTGGTCTTAGGGTGGAATCGTATCTCTCACAAGTCACCAGCTGCTGTGTGTCATGTCTCCTTCCTCATTACTCATCTTGCCCCTCACACTTTCCACGCCAGTTTCTCTAATGAAAGCGTGGTAACAAAGAGAAAGAGCTTTTGGTGCACGGCAAGACACCTATCTCTTCAAGAGTCCGTAGAACGGCCATTTTCTCCGCTGGCTGATGCTGGCAGTAAGTCACACGTTTAATTTGATGATACAATGTTTTTGTATCCACGCTTTGTATAAATTGGTCACAAGAAGATACATTAACAACTCTTGCAAGCTTTCAGAACTGTCAGATCTTAGTGGAGAGATAGAGTTGGAGTTCTGTGGATTTGGGATCTTTATCCAGAGGATTAATTTAGCTTTACTTGTTTAGTGGGCACAATAGCTCAGAAATGTACCATCAGTAACCCTAAGATTTCAAAACCCAGTAGATTCTCTGCATCAAGCACAGAGAATGCGCGGATCAAGACGGCTCTGGGGATTTGAAGTCATGTTGTTCTGTAAATTCATCACACCACAGTTGTTGGTTCTTATATGGAGCAGGGTTCAAAAAAGTAAAAATAGCACTATAAATGATACAGTCCAGCTGACTCCAATTTACCTAAGACTGACATCAATAGTAGTAAATGGCAGGCAGCTGGTTGTAGAGCAAGTACTCATATGTGATTGGAAGAATAATGGATGCCCAAAGATGTCCACATTCTAATCTCCAAAACCTGTAAATGAGGAATGTTACCTTACCTGATAAAATGGGTTTGCAGGTGTGATTAAGCGAAGGATCTTGAGATGGGATATTCTCTTCAATTATGTGGGTGGGCCCAGTGTAACCACAAGAGTTCTTAAAAGAGTCTCAGAGAAAAGATGTGATGACAGAAGCAGAGGTCAGAGTGATGTGAATACTAGCTTTGAAGATGGAAGCCAAAGAATTGGGCAGTTTCTAGAAGCTGGATTCTCCCCGAGAGCCTCCAGAAGGAATGATGCCTTGCCATCCCTTTGATTTTAGGACTTTTGACCATCAGAACTGTAATTCATAAGTTTGTGTTGTTTAAGTCACTGAGTTTGTGGTAACTATTACAACAGCAATGGGAAACGAATAGAATCACAGTCACAAGAAATCAGTTTTCATCTGACACAGCATCATAAGCAGTATTGAAACCACCATAACGCCCTATAATGCCAGCAGGCCCTGTCATAACAATCCCTGTCTCCGAAATGTTTATGTATTCCTATTTCCCTGACATGCCCATTGGGAGATAATTGGAGAGATATGCCTTCTCCCATGTCATGTAAAATTAGGATGCCCTCTACTGAGGCATAGTCAACCGAATAAAGTGTGTTCTAGTTCTTCGATGTCTCCCATTGGTGCAACTCCGAAACAATAAACCAGTCAAGCTGTACAGCCACTCGCATCTCTCCTCCCTGCTAATGCTGGCCCAGCCAGGATTCTGACCCGGGACTCAGCGTCACTGCTAGCACAACTGTTACTAATCCCCAGGCCCCAGGAAAAGGCAAATAAACAGACTTCTGACAGAGAGACATGGCAGGAAGTGAAAGTGAGAAAGAAAGTGACTGGGAGAAAAACAAGATAAAGAGAAAAAATGAAGAAGGTAGAAGAAAAGAGCTTTTCAAACTAGGTAGAAATGCTAATTTTTTTTTAAGGCATAATCCACTCCTATATGTATCTAAGAGGCTGATTGGTAGAAACTATATAATAGTGTAGAGATGAACTAACCCATACTCATCATTTTTATTTCTTACGTGTATGTAGATTCTCTGACCAAAAATAAGTAATGGATAAACTATATGTTGCT